AGAGGGGGGGAGGGGGGGAGAGAGAGAGAGAGAGAGAGAGAGAGAGAGAGAGAGAGAGAGAGAGCCGATCTCGGAATGGATGATTTAGTAAAGGAAACTCAGGGTAGGACTCACGTTTTCCACTTCTTCGGATAAGTCCTCGAAAGATGCTATCGGCGCTGGTCCAAGCTTCTTTTGATGAACATTCGGCAAACCCGACGCCATTTTTGAGAGTTCAAATCACGATAATACTGAAAAAATGTGAAAAATCAAAATCAGATATTTTTGCAAAAAATCAGACGTTTTTATGCAAAGCTTTTAACAAAAGCACAATCTTATTTCGGTCTCAATAGCGTGTAGAAGCTAAGAAGCACGTGTTGTAATCGCCACCTTAGTTACTACGCTGTTATTCTTACCGTTATGTTACAAGTATTATGCAATAACACCAACAGGTATATAGCGTGTTACGCTTCTTGCCACAATTTCTCGGTTAATAAAGCTCAAGAAATGGCAAACGGCGCTCTTATTAAATAATAAAGGCATTTACTTGCAATCATGTTTATAAAATAAAATTTTTGACACACGTTATATGTGATATTTAGATATTTATTTTTTTGCTTTGCAATTAATTAATATCTAATACTATAATAATCATACTTTATACTAATCATACTTTATACTAATATAGTGTTCAAAATTTTGTATACATATAGTTACACTGTATATATTTATAGCGTTAAAAAGAAGACGAATATCATCATTCTTATATATTTTATAAACTAATTGAAACAGAAGATTCATTCTCGCGATATTTCCTAATTTTCTAACGCTAATTGCATTAAATATTGGCAAAAAAAAAAGAGAAAAAAATTCATATTTATTGTAAAATAATGAAAGTTAATATCACTACTAAATTATGTTATGTTTGTGAGTTATTATTATTATTATTATTATACATATAGCTAGTAGCATTAAAACGGTTCAAGCGAAGGACGAGGTTGATTACATAATATTTCTAATGTCGTATTTTCTAAGCCCTATTTTCACAATCTATGGTTATGTAAAGATTAAAGGTTATCAAGAAATGCATTAATAAATTTCGTTGATGAATCTCTTGGTAACCTTTAATCTTGATGATTGTTTAAAAGTCGACTACAACACTATCCAATCGTCGTGCAAAAGGCTGAGCATAAAAGATGCGATTGTCAAATAAACCAATCCAACATATATATATATATATATATATATATATATATTTTTAGATAATCAACGAAAATCTAGGGAAACGCACAGGATAACGATAGATTTATCGAGTACAACAAGAAAAACAGTAGAAAAGAAATTCAAACATTCTTCAATTGATTTCTCCTAACAGCACATCCTCAGGATGATTCTGAATACGTCCTGAATATCTTGGGACATATATGAGATATGTTTCGAACATTTTACTAAGATGCAAATTTTTGAATATTCTTAGCCCTAATAAATAAGCGCCTAAAAATGTCCTAAACATCTCCTGAGAACGTCCTTGTGGACTATCAAATAAGCGCCACATTATATCCTACGTACACATTATATCCGCTACAGGACATCCGAAGTCCTAAAATGTCCGTTTGTAATCCTTGGGATCGATACTTTTTTCTAATATTCTAGATCTGCCACTAGGTGGTTCCTTTAACTACAACAGAACGTTCTATAGGAATAGGACGTCTAAGTACAATTTTAAGACCTCCACACTGCTTCTTCATGCAAACTACTAGTGGACAATTATTTCGTAAGTATGCACAACTTTTATATAAAACAAATGTCACGACGTGACAGCTCTGGAGCGTCATATTGGACTAAGAAATGGTAAAAATGTCAATTTCGAAATTTTTTTTGTCATTCTCAGTATAGGCTTCACCTCCCAGACACGTAGATATTAATGGTTTAATCCTGGAAAAACATTCTCAAATGATCAGAGAGGAAAAAAGTAATTGTTATACAAAAATTGTATGGTTTAGTCGGAAATACAGAGACGAGGATCCCCTTAAAAATTGATAAGTCTGAGAGTTTGTAAAATTTCTATCATATGGACTAACAAAAATTATAATAATTTCAATGCTTGCTTATTTATGACTCGGCCACTTTCGTATAATCATCGGCGAAGAAATCTAATTCAATGAGCAAATTCCGCAAAGCAGAAAATCCCTTTGAACTGATCGGAACCGATCGACCGGCTGAAAAGCTGACAAACACAAGTTATTGTCATTAGAAAGATCGATTGATGAGTTTGCCGGATCATCGTTGACGTAACATGTGCGTGACATAGTCGCTGATTGGTTGATCGGCTGGTTAACCCAACTGGTTATCCCTGCATCTATTTTACACGGTGCGAGTTGGCATATGAATTGATAAGTAGCTGAGAGTCGGTTACTGGTTTTGTATAAACAAATCAGTCGAGTTACTGACCATGCAATTTGGACGGTAATTGGCTTTGCCAATCTATCGTTATCCTTATTTCAAATATTTTTATTCTAGTATTCAGTTCTGGCATTCCCTCACTACATAGGTCAACTACTGACTCTTTGTGAATGCACAAATCAATGTGGCCAGTAGTGATATATTGGAATAGAATTATGTAGTATGTACAATACATTGAAGAGAATTACGCCTAGATAATTCTAGACTATCGTTTACATTACGTATAACAAAAGTGTACACCAGAGTTATCTAGGCGTAATTCCTAAACGAATCCCTGAAGTAACTAAAGCCTGGTTTACACGGTGCAAACTATTAGATTGCCAGTAAAAAAGTAGCTAGCCCCTGAACTGAGTGATATCAGCCTTACAATATTGACTTTTGTTATTTACACGATGCGAGCTATTATTAGCTTGATAGTAAATTAGTGATACTGACCTCCGAACTACGAGTAGATAGCTAATTATCTCAGTTATTAATTCTGTACTGGGCCGAAATCAGACTACGCATTGAAGATTGAGATCGAAGATTGAAATGAAACTAATAAAGACAGAGAAATTTTAGCTTCTTTTATTTGAATTGATCAAATTTCGATCTTTCAGTATTCATGCAATCTCTTAATCTTCAATGCGTCTGATACCGGCTTTAGATTACTGTTTGGACTGCTACTAGCCATACTGATTTGTACATCCGTAAAGGACCAATAACTGGTATCTACACGATAAATATAAAAAGACCAATAAAGAAAAATATTCGAAATAATTGTCTTGCCCAAGTTGGCCAAAATTGGTCTTACTATCCAACTTGCACGATCGAAATCCACCAATCTATCTACGTGAAGCCAATAGCCGATCTTCATCTACTCACACTATTATCTCGCGTGCCAACTCACATCGCAATATGTAAACCGACGAGGATAAATGAAATTAAGCGCAAAATTAGAGGCCGACCAGTGGACGAGATTCACACATCGCCGTATTAATACGCGTAGAAAATAAAAATGATGATTCGAATGGATAGTAGTTGGATCGTTTGCCCGATACAGATACTTATGATATGATATAACAAGTAATAAGCAAATAAACAATAATAAATTAAACAATAATAAATTAGAAACAAAACAACAAATAATTTAATTTGCTGTAGCTGTCGGAATAATGCACAGTTAAAATCGTAAGCGTAAGATTAAATGATAGAATGGATTACGGTTGAATGATTGCGAATCCGCGATGAATCCAGAACAATTGGTGTATTCATGGATCGAATAACAGGCCTGTTCTTTTTAGTTGAACTTGTTGCACGCTTCCAACGTGGAGAGTAAAGGAAGAAAGATGAACTCTCAATCTTGAGCCGAAACGTGCGTTTATATATTTCTTTTTTCTTTTTTTTTCATTTTATTTGCAATAAATGTTCAACAAAATCAGAATATTGTAGTTTTTATAATTACGAGAAAATCTTTGCGCACTGTCTTCCGCGCCGACTGATCCTTGTATACTGTACATATATAGCTCCTTTATGTTAATTCTTATCGTATGAATATCAAGAAGCCCGTTGTTGTTTATTAAAGATGAGCCGCGCAAGAAGTTTAGCTAAAAAGAACAGACCTGTTATTCCTAATGTCTTATAATGTGATTTAATGTTTGAATTGTGACGTAGCTGCGTTGTATGCAATCCTGATGCATCTGATATAGCGCGGGTACAGGTCGCGTACCTACGCTACGTTGTGCAGTCGCTAACAAGGCTCTTCTATTTATAGCGCATCGCCTTCGAAGCGCAAATGCGAGTCTACGCGTTAAGATTTTCCTTATGATCCCTCTCGAGGAGAAAGATGTATCTTTATACACAAGTCACAAAGTTGCAGATTACAGTCTGTACATACCTACATCGAAATTAAACGTACATGTAGGTACAATAATTACCACTTTCCAAGATATTTATGTAATATGTAGTCAATTGTCACGCGCGAAGGCACTCAAGCTCAAATTTCCATCTTCATCTTCCGTTTATGACTTTTATTTCACAGAGAAATGAAATAAAATTTACTATATTTAATAGAGAAATAATAATTTCCAAGAACAATAATCCTGTAATTATAGCTGTGTAAAGCATTTGTTGTCGATTAATTGTTGATCCATAATTATTTTAGTAGCGTCATTTAAACACACAGACAAGAGGTCTATTTTCTGTGGCTGAACTAGTGTAGACACTTTTAGAACTGAAAGTGAGATAGATGCACGTTTGATATTAGTCGAAAGCGAGGAAGAGAGTTCTAGAGCAGTGTCTAGTTCCTAGCAGAAACAGACTACAGATTTATCGCAGTGTCGATTTTCTCCGTACGTATAATTGGTATAATCGCTCAGAGAACTTGGGTCGTAAAAGAAAAAAATCGCATAACCGCATAATAAACGGAGGAATGAAATCTTAATTTCGACAACTTTATTTGCCAATGCTGTACAGGCAGAGATAGAAAGATAATCTCCCCTTTGTATGTCCATAACGGATGGAGAAACTCTGACGGCGATTGCCATGAGATTGATCTCTTGGCGAGGTAGCAAAGACTAGGCACATCGCGCGAGTATTTGTATACGCCAGTACTTGTATACTGTCCAAATTCGTAATTGACAAGTGTGATCGTGCTCCTTACGTTACACGCGATCACTCTCTCTTACGTCGCGTTGATGATCGATTGTACAAGGCGATTCGATGTTAGAACGCGCTTCGCGACATCTCTCTAACCGAAAGAGCTGCAGCGACTAGAAGGGAATCGTCAATTCGTCATACAGTCAAGAATCTTTTTCATTTACTTAAATTTTTTCGTTACATCAACTATGCCATCCATAATGTTTAATGCTAAATTAATAATAATATATTTCCCGCGTGCTCTCACACTCTGCTCTTTCGTATATTAATTTTTATATTCAAACAGAGAGAACTATTGAACTTTTAGAAAAAAGATCGATAAAAGAAATGTAGATTCACCGCTCCGAGCTCGATGTACTCCTTAATTTATAAAAATCATACAAAATTGAAAGAAAATGGAAAAGAATTACGCGAGATTTTAAATAGTGTATTAGGTAAATTTCAATCACAAAATCACAAATAATATTTTCTTTGCGAAAAAATTGTATTTCACGAGCCTTGATCAAGACTCGGTCGCAATGGCAAGAGCTTTCCATTTGGAGAAAACGGTCGAAATCACTTCTACGCATTGAGTCTAATTTTGGTAACGTCAGGATAAGTGTGAAAATGATGTTTGCGCTTATTCACGATAGTGATACATGCGAGCAAGACGGACGGACGGACGGACGGACGGACGAATGGATGGATGGATGGATAGATATTGGATAGATATTGGATAGATAGATAGATAGACAGAGAGAGAGAGAGAGAGAGAGAGAGAGAACGTGTAGAAAACACGAGACATGTTGTAAAATCGTTGTGGCGATAAACAGCGAATCGACTCGATCACCAAAATTCACTTTGATTTCTCACACGAATATTATGTCACTCTCACTTAACTGGAAAAAGCTCTCATCGGAGTACGCGTGTAGTGCGTCTCATTGTCATCACTGGCAACTTATCGTATTAAGCGTATTAACCAACAGCAGCACCCGTACCAGTAGACCCTCACCGCGACAGACCTTCACCGTTCGTGTTCACGTCCTCTTGGCCGATTTCTCGCTGCACTCGTCGACGCGTGTGCCGCGCCGTCGAGGTCGAGCCCTCGTTGTGCCATCGCAGAGTCGCTCTCTGCCTAGCTTCGCCTTGGTAGCGAGAAGCTCGCTCTCCGTTCGCAAATCGCCGTTTCTGCCAATCCCGGCGGCGAGGACGAAAAAAACGGGACACCCTCGCGAATCGCGCTCGCGACCACCCTCACCCTCGCTCTCCCCGACACGGACACGGACACGGGCACGGGCACGGGCACGGGCACGAGCACGAACAACCACCCCTGACGTCCTACTTTCCTCTCCACAGTCCACAGTTCACACTAGTCCACAATCCACGGCACGCTCACGACCTCAGCAAGAGTGCGCTCGCGACTCACGTTCGCACTTCTCACGTTCCCCGGACGCATGTAGATATACATGGCATGTATATGTACATAATGCCCAATCGGCGCGGGCGGTCGCACGAATCTCTCGATACACAAGACCGGAAATAATACAGTATATACTCTCTTACCCTAGTCTGATGTCCTCCATTGCCACAGCTATTGGCCGACAACCGATCGATCTCCTTTTCCCCTTTTTCTGCAGCTACTCCATTTCTGTG